TGGCGCCCACGTGCAATGGGGTGGGCTGTGTATACGGGGGGGCTGTGCAATGGGGGGGCACGCGTGGGCATTGGGGCAGTGCAATGGAGGGGGGGAGACACTGCATTGGGGGGACCCTGTGTGAGCAGGGCAGCTGTGGGCAGGGGGGCAGTGCAGCTGCGGGGGGGCCATGCCTGTGCATTGGGCCAGTGCACCAGCGGGGCTGTACACATGCAATGGGGCAGTGCAATGGGATGGGGGCCATATGCATGCGGGGGGGGTGTCTAATGAAGGGGTAGGAGGGGTGTGCATTGGGGCCAGCCCTCTCTCCCCCCAAACCCCAGTTCCCCCACTCACCTGGGGCCCACGAGCCCTGTGCCCTGTGTCCCTGCCGGTGCTGAGGCCGGGCCACCCCCCAGCCGGGCCCCAAGTGAGGAGGAAACGGCGGCTGGAGCGGGACTGGGGACAAGCAGCCGTGGGTGCCACGGCCCTTCCTGCAGAGCCACAAATGCAAATCCTGTGCAAACACGGCCTCTCCCACAGCTCTGCCCCGCCATGGGGCACTCCAGCAGAAAAGGGGCAAGAAAGCCCTGGGGACAGGGAGACGGCGACCTCCGAGCCAAGATATTGGTACCAGTCACTGACCAGTACCCGCTGGTTTGGGTACCTGCAGGTGATGGGCAGCCCCTGACTTTGGTCCTCACCAGAAACCATCATTGGAGGTCAGGGCAGCCGCATGGCCCCCTGCTGCTGGGCACCAATTTATATGACAATTTTAGGTTTTTCCTCCATTTTTTGGCATGTCGCCTGTTTAGCCAAAATACCTCCAGGGCTGATTAGCAGCAGTTGCATCCAGACATGTGCAAATAACCCAGCCTCTCTGCTCCCCCAGAACGCCAGAATAAGGTGAATGAATCCCCCAGGGCCAGTGGGTCCCTTTGGGAGGGCTGTGGGTGCCCAGAGCCCAGAACAGGTCCAGGACGGAAGGTCCCATACCCACAGCACTGGGCTTACCTGGAGAAACTCTGCAAAAAAGGAGGAAATCTGTCAAAAAAGAAGCTGAAGGCAGCTGAGCCTGGGCTTGGAGCCACCAGGAAAATGGATGTAGAGATCAGAAACATGCCCCACAGATGCAAAGCCTGGAGCAGGCAGGGAGCCCCGAAACTAAAAGTGAGAGCCTGCAAGTGGAGAAGGGGAAATGGTGCCCAGGGGGGTTCTACAGAAACCCTCCAGCAGCCCTGCCGGCCCCGACCTCAGAGCCAGCCCCTCCTGCTGCCCCAAAAAGGGAAGAAAAGTATATAATAAAATAATCCGATCCATGGTAGGCAGCAGCTTCCCTGGCGTGGGACTGCCCAAGCAGATGGGCGGGAGCAGCCCCTGACAGGCATCACATGCAGGATCCAGTGCTGCGGGGTCATTTCCAGACCCAGAGGACTTTTTTCCGAGCATCGAGCTGCCCTTTTTGCAGTGTGACCACCCACTCTCCAGCTCCACGGCCACAGTAGTGATGGCTTGGGCTATTGGGTGGGGTTTTTTTTCCTTTTATACCACCCACCTTGTGTTGATCTGCCCTGAATTTCTGCTGCTGCTCCAGCCCCTCACTTCCACGGGGTCCCTCTGCACCGTCAGCCCTCCTGCATCCTAAACTTGATGTATCAGCAAGAAGCAGAACAGCAGCAAGCTTGGTGTAAAACCAGCAGCAGATCAGCGACTCCCCAGGCGGGATGCAGTCCCAGGGCCATTGAGCCAGACCCCATGCTCTTCCCAATCTCACTCTTAGCAAAAATCTCCAACCTTTGTAAGCAGCCCTGCTTTAACACGCCCTAAATAACCCAAACAGTTTATCTGTGGGCCGGGGAACATCCCCTGTAAGGACACCACATCCTGCTTGGATTATCATGGCCCTTCTAAACAGTTTATAAATAGACGAAGGTAAATGAGGGCGGTCGCTCTTTTTGAAGGAAAGTGAAGACTTTTATCCAATTTCTTTCTGTAAAGCCATTCAGGGAGCACTGGTCCAGACGACCACTCCTAAACCCCAATTTTAATATGCTGCTTCTTTCTCCTCCAGCTGAGCTCCATCCCTGACTCACTAAACAATTAAAAAAAAGGAAAAAAACAAAGAAAAAAGGGTTTGGCAGCTTCACCCCCTCACGCGCCGGCCTCAGCGGCATCGCGGGGCTGCCGGGAAGGTCGTGGTTGCGCCGTGAGGCGCCGGCTGGGCTCGGCACCAGGGCGGCAATGGGGTGGGTGCTGGGGCCAGCAATGGGAGAGGGCAGGGACCAGCAGCACGCTTCGGGGTCACACTGCTTTTTACTTTGGAAAAAAAGCAGAAAATTGGGGCGAAAAATGGAAAATTTGGGAAATAATTTGGAGAAGATGGAGAGCAGCGAGTGCCCACAGCTGCTCCTCCTGCAGCAGGTGGGACAGTCACCTACACAGTGTCCTGCCATCAGCATCCCCCAATTCCAAAAATATCAACTAATTTCACAAGCAGTGATCAGAGAAAATGATCTTAATGCTTTCCTGTGCAAATGTCCGTTCACAGAAAGGGGTTATATTGTGCAACAAGGGCATCTGTAAAACACTCTGCAGGAACTGAACCCATTTCCAAGAATCTAAGGAGTGAAGAAATGGTATTTTACGTGCATTTCTGAGCTATAAATACTTTTTTCTTTCTTTCCTCTAAAAGTGGAAGTGATTTGCAAAAGCAAGGGACCTGGGACAGGGCTTCACCTTGGCCAGCAGATGCAGCTCCAGCCTGAAGCAACGTGGCTGCATGGCAAACGGCACAGGGAAGAGCCCATAGCTCGCTTTTTTTTTTCCCCAGCTTCCTCCATTCAGGCTGAAAAATTGCATTTCCACCTGGTTTCAATTAATTTTAAGACTTTTACATTCCACAAAAGCTGAAGCGCTCATTAAACCAGAGTTTTTCCTATTGTAACACTTTGAAACGACCACACTACAACTCAGACGGTGGCTCAGGCTCAGCCGCGCCAGGACCTCCCGCGGGGAGAGAAGCAGCTCTGGGTCCCATCAGTGGCAGCAACACTCACCTTCCAGCTCAGGATGGACAAACTCATCGCACCCCATGGGTCCATCCCATGGGGCAGCATCAGGGCAGCTGGGAAAAGTCAGGGCAGGAAAGATGCTTGTCCCGTGCCCTTCCTTGACCTGACATCCGCGGCACTGCCATGGCTTTGGGCATGGCAGGGAGGGCTGGATGTGCCCCTCATCTCATCACGGGGGGGCTGGGAGCGCTGCTGGGCACGGGGTATGGCTAGGGCACGCTCACTGCCCTGCAGCACCCTGCCTCGGGGGGTGAGGAAGCACTGCAGGAAGAATATATCCACTTGCACCCATACATAAATCGTAGAATCATAGAATGGTTTGGGTTGGAAGGGACCTTAAAGATCACCTACTTCCAACCCCCCTGCCATGGGCAGGGACACCTTCCACTAGACCGTGTTGCTCAAAGCCCCATCCAACCTGGCCCTGAACACTCCCAGGGCTGTGGCACCCACAACTTCTCTGGGCAACCTGTTCCAGTGCCTCACCACCCTCACAGTAAAGAACTTCCTTACATCTAATCTAAATCTAACCTCTTTCAGTTTAAAGCCATTACCCCTTGTCCTATTTTTGCACCTCTAAGCAAAGCAGAACCAGCCAGGGCCCTGCAGTCACTCACAGCCACGCTCCTTGCCCCAGCAGCCAGCCCTGGCTCCATCGGTGGCCGCGGACAGCCCTGGCTGCCAGCAGCCCCACTGCAAAGCTGACGGTTTCTTTGATCTCGAAAGATCAAAAAGAGACGTTTCCCCGCCCTGTCGCAGCCACAGCGTGCCCAGACGTTTGTCGGTCAGCCACGAAGCGCGGAGCAGGATGTGGCAGCTCCAGCTCCCATGGCCGGCAGACGCTGAGCCTGCCGTCCCGCGGCTGCCTACCTTTCCAGATGCTTCTATGTGCTCAAACAGTTTTCCTTCCTGAGAAAACAAAACAAAACAAAACAAGAGAAGCTGTGAAACGCAGCAGGAAAGAGGTATCCTCTAGGAACGTCTGCACAACCTGCCCACATGTTGCTCCCTCTCGCCCTCCCAGGGCATGTGGGTTTTGGATGGACCCCAGGCACCTGTGGGCTGCTTTGGTTTATTCAGTGGTGGGTGAGCATCTAAGCAAGAGCTGAGCAAGGGCACGCGGAGCTGAGCAGCCTTTGAGGGAATGTGGAGAAGTCTCCAGGAGTTGTTTTCTGCAAGGAAAAAACCCACCAGGACCTGCTGCAGGAGCACCGAGCAGGCAGCAGAGACCTCTGCCTGGGGTTAAATGAGTTGCAGTTCGACAAGATTTTGTGTCTTGTGTCCTCGACATGTGGGTCCCAGGCATGTCCCCAGTCACATCCCATGCTGGGCACAGCAATGACAAGTCCAGCGGCGTGTCCTGGCCAGCCCATCCAACCTCAAACAATCGATCCAGCTGGGTATCCTACCAGGGTCTGCTGGGGCTCCTCACACGTTCGGGCATAGATTTCCCTCCCCTGCCTGCTGTGTTTTGGGATTAGCCGCTGTTCATCTTCCTTGGCTTTACCTGGAGTAATATCCTACACATTCACAGATTGGGGTTTATTTAGTTATTACCAGAGCCCCTACAGCACAAGGAGTATTTTAAGCTTCACAATAGAACACACCAACCAGTTCTAGTGCCACACCACCACCAGCTTTGAGCAAAGCGCTGCAGGGAAACAAGAACACATGCTCTCATCCACAGAGGAAAAAACGTTTTGCCCAAGGGGGAGATAAGTGCCGTACCCCACTGCCTGTGGCTGCACAAGGGATGCCCACAGTGTGGGACCTGCAGGCCTTTAGGCACTGAAAAACAAGGTTAAATGTTAAGTACAGGTTGGTTTCTATGTTCCACAAGCCTCTCATGCACCTGGATGCACAGCAGCACAGCAGCACAGCCAGGGTTACCGGCTGCTCCAGTGTTTTGAGCGTGGCCCTTTGGTATCTCAGTTCCAGCTGCTGCAGTGCCCACAGGCTGGGACAGAATACTCAGCAGAGGAGGGGAAAGACTCCTTAGGCTGTGGAAACTCATTCCTTGCTTCACAGAAAGCAAATTTTTAGTAAAAGCCTGATTTCCCCAGCATATTCCTCTTGATGAGCAAAACCCACCCAGAAAGCAGGACTAAGGCACCCTGAATGCAGAATACAATCCTGAAACCCATTGCTTGATACCCAGGTTGGGGGGCATGATGTTTAACCAACAGAGTTCAGGGATTATCCCATCCAACTGCTTCATTGATCTCAGTGGTGCCAATAACTCCAAAGCACACCAAGACAATGCACCCTCGAGGGCAGCCACCGTGGTGTTGGGAGACGTGTATTTGTGCCATAGTAAAGCAATCCTACTAGTGCCTGGTTAATCCACTTATCCTGCAGGACTAAACAACTTGCCCTGAAGAACTGCTACATCTCATCCATCTAAAGTATTCTTCATCCCACAATAAAATTATTCCACAAAATTTAAGAGTCCCAAACAAGGGCAAGCAGACCCTGGAGTCTTCCTCCCACATAAGCCAAAGGAGACAGTGTGAACACTTGCTTTTGTGTAGGGTCTTGCTCATCACAACCAGCTGCAAGACGCTGCTTTAGCCGCACAGAGACCCAGAGAGCAACTGGAGCCAACAGTCCCCCTCCCAAAACCTCCCACGGCTACAGATGGAGACCCAAGGAAAGGGAGCTGGTGCCTGGCAGACTGGGGAGTTTCCTGCCTGCCCTTTCAGCATAGGAAAGCTGATGCCAAGAGTGCTCTGCCAAGAGGAAACAAAGGAGTTGGTACCATCTGAAAAAGGAGACTGCTGCTTTTTATTAAACAGTGAAGTGGGCCCAGACACTCACGTATGGGAGGAAAAGCAATGTGAGGAGCAGGCCCAGACCCAGCAGTTGTGGGGTGCATGGCCCAGGCTGCTGTTGAGCTGTCTCCATGTGGAAAAGGACACCCTTTTGGGGAAGAGGGCACAGCAAACCCCCAGAGCAGAGAACTACCCAGCAGGATGCAGAGAGCTGGGCAGCACCTTGGAGCTGAGCACAGGCACAGAGAAGTGACGCAGAGGGGAAAGCAGGGACACTAGCGGGCTAGTTGCAGTTCTTGGGCAGGCGATAGACACCTCCAGAGTAGATGAGTTGCTGGTCCCGGACTTTTTTCTGGAGAAAACCCTGCAGCTCTTGTATATCGATTTCTGTAACCACTGGGCCTGTCATCACAAACATCTTCAGCATGCTGTGAATCCTCTCCAAGGACAGGCTCTCCAGGTTTGTCAGCATAGCCTGGATGTATGTCCAGAACAGCTGCAGAGGGGGACACACAAGCAACAGTAAACCATACTGACACCTATACCATGAAGAAAAAGGGTGCTTTAGCATCCTGTATCCCAAAAGCAGAGCAAGGCTGTGGCTGGCAGTAAGTTCTGCTCTCAGCCATAAGCATGTAGTCTTTAAACAGGAAATACCCAAGAACAGCACCAGGTGTTGGGAAACACAGCTAGAAAGCAGGATTTGACATGCAGTACGTGCATGACCCTCAGTGGATAAACACCAGTATGACACCTCCATGTTGCACAGTAGCACAACACACACACACAACATGACACATGGGTAGAAAAAGCACTGGAAGTATCCAGGAACCACAACACAGGGAAGGCAAAAGTCCAGCTGTAAGTGCTAGGTAAGCCTTTTTGGCAGTGTAGAGTGCCAAAAAGCACTGCTTGGGTGAATCCAAATAAGTTATGACTATTTTCAAACATGAAATCATGTCTCAGACTTTTTTTTTTAAAACTGAAAAAACACATTTAAGAGATGTCCAAATGGTTGCCTGGCTCAGCAGCCAGGCACTTTTCTGGAGGAAAGGCTGCAATCTAGCACCTGCACCAGTGAGCATTAATCAAGAGATACCCATTTCAAAAAACTCTCATGCTGGACTTAGCCACTTGCAGTGGAAAACGCAAATCCAAAATGCAAATTGAATCCATCATCTTAATCAGATTCCCCAAAACCAACAGCATGGGATGTCTGCACCATCCTGCTGGCTTCACAAGCAGCAGAGACACACAGATGGGTACCTGCAGCTCTTCCTCTTTCTGGTCAGCCTGTGACGCCATGGCGGAGTCTCCCTCCTCATCGCTGTCTATCAGAACGACCTTCTCCACCTGGTCCTTCTGCTCCTCCTCAATCACAGTGAAGGTGCCTTGGGGCTCTTCACGCAGGACACCCTGCTGCAGCCACAGCGTCATCTTACGCTTCAGTGATGTCACCGGCACCTTGAGCACTTCACTTAGCTCTGTCAGTGTCCACATACCTGCGGAGACCATGGATATCGGAGAAGAGAACAGGATACCTGCCCACCTCCCAGCATGCCAGGACTTAGTAAGAGGATGGGGAAGGCTGGGGAGCAAGCCGGGAGCAAGCAGCTGCGTGCAGTGACTGCCTGAAAGCAGACCAGGTGCTGAGCTGTGGCCCTGCTGGGTGCTGTCTCCTACGAGAGCTGGAGACCTGGCTGAATCCTGTGGTAGATCCAAGCCCACGAACCAGGTCTTGGTCCTGCTGCCAGAGCTCTCAGAGCCTTCAGCCACCTGAGTAACACAGCCTTCCCACCCACCCACGGGAAGCACACAGACATGGGTGGTAACACTGAGTCTGTGTCACAGCACTCACTCTTGGTCTGGAAGTGCAGGATGATGGCGGCATGCACAGGAGAGACGGACAGGGAGAGGGTGCGATCTGCCAGCTCCACGTCCAAGCTCACCAGGCCCAGGTGGTACTTCCAGTTCAGGGTCCTCATGGCCTGGAAAAGGGAGAAGCAGCCACTCACAGCAGATCTTCTAATGGGAATCACTAAGCACTGCGTTATTGCAAATGCCCCTCTACCACCAGGGCCAGCTGCGCTCCATACCCCTCTGCCAGACATGAAAGCTGCTCCCCTCCTCATGAGTCAACCAGCACTGCCACCACCCAGCCATCCCCTACCCCTTCATGGGAAACATCCTCCTCAGCACAAGTTGTTGTTCAGCCCTTGCCCAAGACCAACACCTAAAAAGTCACTCAGCTCTCTGGTAGGGTAAGCACAGGTTGAGGAAGACCAGCTGAACCACTCAGGACAAACTTCTACCGGAAAATAAATACTCATCTGGGGCAGGATTTCCTCAGAAGAGAAGCAATTTCTTCTGATACTGATGTGAAAAGAACACTGCTTGCTTTGAAGGCTGAGGATGCTCAAGGAGGCTGCTTCCTCCTTGCATCTCCTCCTGCAACCTCCCCTAACTAATTTTTTGCAGGCACAGAAATCAGGTGGCACCCACATCTGGTACGTAGCTACAGCAGAAGAGACAGGATCTAGAAGTATGAGCTTCCCAGCCTCATGGCATGCATCACCTGGTGTATAATAACAAGTTCAAGAAAGGATATAGAAAACCAAGCCTGAAGTGGAGTCAGAGCACAAGTGGACAGGCAAAGGGGAACATTTGCATGAGACACCAAGTTGCATTCAGGTTGGCTGCAAGGAACCATCTGTGTGTGCACACAGACACTACACTGGCATGACAGCTAGATCTGACTCATCCATGCTCCAGATGTGTGCTCTGCACTATACCAGGTAAGAAGCTGCAAGATGAGAAAGCCGAGACCACTGTTCTGGATGTCACCTAGATCTCTCCTTGACTTCCAGACAGGTGCTCCTGCTTCCAACTTGTTCTGTATGTGCAGAGCAAGATGCAACTCAGCCTTCTCTATTTGACTAATTGCCATGATCAAGTGCCTGGAGAACAGAAGAATACTGCATGGTTGGTTACAATTGCTCTGTATGCCTCTCCTCCACCCTTCCATGCTGTTTAAAAAGGCATGGATTCAGACTTTGTCTGAGCCACAGTCAAACTGACCAAAAATGCTTGCACCTAAACTGTCTTAACACAGAGTTCAGGTGTTATAGTAACTCGCAGAATTAACTCACAAGATTGGCAAAACTTAACAAATTTTGAAACAGTTGTTATGAAGAAATACATTACCTTGGAGACACTGCTAGGAGACACTGCTAGGTGATCATGTAAACTTAAGATAAACAGAGTTAGAATATGTGCAGTATGTATAACCAAGAACATATTATTCATTAGGCACAGATAAAGGCAGGTTAGTCAATGCTGGATGAGAATCAAGTAAAAGACTCTGTCCTTGCCTTACCTTGCTTAATTTTAATACTAAAATCAACACCCACTTGTGCATAATGAGTATGTAAATGTGAGACCACCTCAGTATAATGAGCCGGACAAGAGCATGACGTGCTCAAAAGATCTTTTCATTGTATAAGTTTGTGTAGCCTATCACAATTTTTGTTATATGTGTTTCCTTGTAACAAAATTGTATAAAAACCTCAACCTTTCTTTCTAAAGGTGTGCAGGTATTTGGAGACCTGGCACCCTATACTGCAGTATAACAATAAAGACAAGTATCTCAACTTGATGTGTTGATTGGCTTACAGCACACTGGGTGAAAAAAACCAGCTTTTGAGACAACACAGGGACCCTCCAGAAGTGAACAAAACAATCCAGGAGAGGCCACAGACAGAAGAGGAAGCAACATTCACCTAACTCTAGACTAACAGTGAATCTTAAAATGACACCATGTTAAAAGAGCTTCTTTTCAAGAGGACAAACAGGGGAGGAGAGTGCCAGGGTCCTGAAGAGAGGCCCAACAGGGACAGGATGTCACTTACTACTTAGTTATAGAACTTAGGCCAACAAGCTTAGACCAGACTTAAGATGCCTAAAAACTTCCACCTCAGTATCCATTTAACTAACAAACAACGGCATATTTTAGAAAACTCTCTTCCTTAACTGCAATCACTATAATAACTCAGACACCCCATAAAGAGATAAACCCTTCTTTTGGCAATAGCTAAGCTAGCGCAGCTTCTAACCCCAATTCAAAGCTGAAGGACTTTAGGATTCCACCGTAACAGCATGGGTGTACTAGCACCTAAAATTTAAGGGAAGTTAAAAACCATGCTATGTAACAAAGTCTGAACAGCACACAGCTTTTTTGAGGAGCATTAAGGTTGCCTCACCTTTAATTTCTCATATTTCTTGGAATAGGCTTCCATGGCTTCCTTGACCTGCTCTGGAAGCTCTAGCTTCTCCTCTTTCAGCGGTGGCCAGAACTCACTTGACAGGATAACGGCAACAAGGCTGAATGGTGGCCTCTCCTCTTCTGGGAGCTTTTCTTCCTCATCACGAATGTTAGCGTTAATGCGTCGCGAGTCAGCCATATCCTGGAAAAGGCAGAGGAAGCTAAGGCAGCTCCTTCTCTTCCAAGTCAGTGCTAACCCTTAGCAAAGGAGATGATTAAACAAGGTGACTAGCATTGTCTCCAAATGATGATAGGGACATTGGAAAGAACATGATCATGTGTATCTACTAGAAAGTCTGCTGTGTACTCAGAAACATTTGTGGGGAAGTTGAGGAAGGGCTTACAGCTCAATGCTAGCCTACACCGCAGTCCCTCCAGACCTGTGTTTGTCGTAGTTTAACACCAGCCAGCAACTAAGCACCACGCAGCTGCTCGCTCTCCCCCCGCCCCCCACTGTGGGATGCTGGACAAAATCGGGAAAAGAACTAAAACTTGTGGGTTGAGATAAGAATGGTTTAATAGAACAGAAAAGAAGAAACTAATAATGATAATGATAACACTAATAAAATGACAACAGTAATAATAAAAGAATTGGAATGTACAAGTGATGCACAGTGCAATTGCTCACCACCTGCTGATTGATGCCCAGTTAATCCCCGCGCAGCAATCCCCTGCCCCTACTCCCCCCAGTTTATATACTAGACATGATGTCCCATGGTATGGAATATCCCGTTGGCCACTCTGGGTCAGCTGCCCTGGCTGTGTCCTGTCCCAACTTCTTGTGTCCCTCCAGCTTTCTCGCTGGCTGAGCACTAGAAGCTGAAAAATCCTTGACGTTAGACTAAACACTACTTAGCAACAACTGAAAACATCAGTGTGTTATCAACATTCTTCTCATACTGAACTCAAAACATAGCACTGTACCAGCTACTAGGAAGACAATTAACTCTATCCCAGCTGAAACCAGGACAGTGTTCTTCCCACAGTGCTCGAAGTGAATTAAACTCCAGAGTCCCAACCCTAGAGGAGCTGGAAGAGCCCAGCTCTTCCAACGCCAGAATACTGTACTGCAGGAAGGGCAGGAGCGACAACAGCACCAGAGCAACCATCTCCCAGAGCTGATAACCTGACTCACAGGGCTTAAAAAACAGAGATGATTTTGAATGCACTTCTGCCTGTCACAAATCAGCCCCCTCACTGGGATTTTGGGAACCCCACTTTCCTAAAAGACCCTTTTTGGGTCACTCCTCAAGTCTCTCCCCTTCCCCAATGAGCTCAAACAACCAGGACTTGAATTTAAAGAAAAAAAACCCAAAAGTTACTTTTAACATGACTTCACAATAGTGCATCTGAGCTTCACCAAACCGCAGCTTCAGCAGCTCCACATTGCGGATTTCCCTGATAAGAGAAACAATAGATCAGACACAGGTCCCTCAGACAGATGAGCCTGGCTCGGCCTCCACCCCTTGCAACACAGCCAAGAATGCAGTCCCTGGCACAAGGGTGATCTCCCTAGGAAGCCTCGCAAAGCACATTAGCTGAACAGGATGCCTCCTAGCATCTAAGTGAGGAACGGTCACTTTCTCTGTACGCCAGCAGCTTTTCGAAGACTTTCCCATCCCTTTCACTTGGACGAACACAGCACCTAGCCATCCCCCTTAACAACACAGTGCAACCTCAGCATTTGGCAAGCCACTTGCCTGAGACTGCCTATCCCAGCCGTGGCTCGCACTAGCTGCATTTCACAGAAGGGAAAACCACTGCAACTGTTCAATCAAGAGACATAGTTGGGTTGCAACTGAGGTTTCCTGACAGTTCATCCCTTTTTCTTACTTTGACACTTTCTGCTGACCCTAAGCAGCCTGTGCAGGTTGTGAGGGCTGCCAGAACATGTGGGATGGAGCTAAGAGGGTGTCAGTGCCTCCAATTTCCTACCTGCTGCCCTACTAGTGCAAGCCAAGGGAAGGACTGAGCAGGAAGCAGCTGAGAAGATGTGAGTGCATGAAATTCTAGATGCAAACCCAAAGCTGCAGAGGAAATGGCCAAAGACATTCCTGGCTCCAGAAACAGCTGTTCATAGGACTGAGGCTGAAGCACACCTTTATCAGGTGATTTTACCATGGAAAGCCCTGGAGTTGGGCACTTGGACCTCACCTCTCAGCACTGTAGTTGAACTGATGTAGCAGCCGGTCAGCCAGAAGCGTGCGGTATTCATTGATAAACAGGTCCTTGCTGCCATAGATGCTCACCAGCAGGCTGATGATGTCTGAGGACCGACGCTTGGAACTTGATTTTCCTAGTGAAATCCAGCAGACAACAGCACAAGATTAACAGAAACCTGCCCCAGGCCAGCTCAGCTCTAGAGGACTAGCAGATGAGCTGCTCAAGACTACAGCCCACTGGGGAAAACAGTGGGCTGTCAGGACTTCTGGTCTTGGGATCTAACCTGGATCTGCATCAACCGGGTCAGGAACCCAGTCCCCTGGTTCTGAGATGTCATCGTCACTCTCCTGGCCGTTCTCCAGGGTCACCGGGTCAGCTTTCGAGAGCTCATTTGCAAGATCACCAGAGCCCTCAGCATCCCCTGTGAGACCAGCCACAATCTGCCGCACTGTGTCTTCCCGAGTCCTGCCAACAGGGAAGAGAAACAGAGCAAGTGAAAGGGAAGCGAGGGAAAGGGGATGTGTAAGACTGCCCTGCAAGCCTCTTACCTCAGATACTTCCTGATGGGTTCACAGGCAACCTCGAGGATAACCATGGAAGGGTCAAGCTCCCGTAAGGCCTTGATGGCCGAGATATACAGAGTGATGATATCAGATGTGTTGACTCCTACAGGAGAGGGGCAGAGGGAGTCAAGAGTCCCAGAGCACAGACTAATGGCTTGGACACAAGGAACTTGGATGCTCTAAGCCCCCTGTTCGATCCATGGAGTCAGAGGCGAAGGGCTTGCTGCCCTACTGCCCCAGCCAAAGGGAGAGATCGGATCCGTATGTCTGAGAAACCAGTTCCAACCATGAACACAGGCTCAGAGACTACTACAAACCAGATGAGCCCAGATTGTGCATTAGGAGCTCAGACCGCACACAGCAGAGAAGACTTTACCCATCTGGACCAAAGCTAAACTTCTAGCTCAGGTCCTCACCATACTGCAGAAATGAGGCAAGAAGGGGCTGAGATATAATCAGCTACTGCTGTCCATGCACACTCAAACACAGGGAGCACGCGATAGGCACAGCCTGGCTGCCTCTCACTCATCAAACATGAAATCAGATGACGGTTCCCAGTAGATCCCCACTCATGCCCACGCTCCTTACAGTGTTATGATATATGCGGGGATGTAAAACCCACCAGGATGCAGAAGTCGCATTTCCAGAGCACTTTTCAGGGAGCTGAGCAGCTGCTGCCTCTGATTAGTCCTTTCCAGGCAGAACTTAAGGTCCTCCACAGCAGGCTTCGACTCTGGGAAATCTACAAACTAAGCAGTGATTAGAAACAACGCCACGTTCTTGTGGGAAGGCAAGAGGAGACAGCGTGGCACATCAGGAGATCAAGACAGATCTACCATTCATCCAAACCAAGTCCAAGAGTGAATGCACACTTAATGGGTCCCACCTACCTCGAATAATGCTGAAGAGCTCTTCAATGCGCATGCTGGCATAGATGCGGTAGAAGAACCTTTGGACATGGCACCGCCAGCGCCTCAAGGTGCTGCTAGCTTCTGGAGAGGAGCGTGCCAAGGGACTATCTTGCAGAAAAACCCGGCTGAGCCAGCCAATCACTTTCTCAATCCACTGCGAAAGGGGGGGGGGGGTACAGAGATGGTGAATACCACAGTTGGATGCACAATCACATCCCACACTTACCCCATCACCAGGGCAGCTACCACAGCAAGCAGAAATGAGCAGCTAGCCAAGGACAGCATTACCTCCAGCTGCTCTCCAAATGCACCCTGGCCTGGGTTATAGCCAGGGAAAGCCTAGCTGAAAGAATGTGAACTTTAACTAAAGGTGAAGGATATGGACTATGCAGATGTGTATGAGAAGATAAAGGGTGACTGAGGACTGTGCATACGTGCTGGGCTCCAAAAAGGATAGGGTATATTAAAAAACTTGCAGACTATTCTATTTTTGCAGAATTCCATTCCATTCTATACTTGCAGAACTATTCCCTTTACAAGAATATGAGCAAATTGCCCATCACATCATCCTTGGCCCAAAATTTCTATGACTCCTGAAATCAATGAAGAGCAAGCAAGCCATCCCAAGGACTCACAGACATACTCTTACCAACCAAACTCAGGCACTTGAAACCAAGACCTCAACCACCAGCCTAGTCACTGAATAATAAAATAAAAACCTGAACAGAGAGCATCAGAGGGTAATTTTTTATATTTGAGATCTAGTTTTCTACAGAGAAATGTGTAATTGTCAAATTTCAAAGGTACTCAACTACAATATCCAGATATTAAAAAGAAATGCTTCTTTTAAATTTTATTTTTACTTTAAGGTGGCAAATGTGTAGCCCTTCCTGGGATAATATCTGAGTATTAATAGCTAGTAAATATGAATCTTTTTTGATAACTGGATTTGGACAGCCTGAAACAAAAATGCTAAGTTCGGATCTGGTTTGATTATGTTAATTTTTAATTATCTACTCAACTGAGGAGACACTGAAGGAATGCACGAGTTCTGCTAATTACAAAGCAGGACAAACCTGAGAACTACAGAACATCTGGGCAAAACTGTGGAAAAGCTAATAAAGAATTCTCCTAAAGAACAAAAGGAAAGGACTAACTGATGCAAAGCAACTCAATTTTAAGGAATACAATTATTATCAAACCAACCCATTTTTCCCCGTGGGTTTATCTTCTCTGAGTGCTCCTGCCATAGCCTGATTAGCAGCTGATGCTCCAGACTGCTGCTGATGTGTCTGAAAAGGGGGTTTGCTGTCAGCCCTTTGTACTTTCAGGAAGCTGTTTCTCAGACTTCTATTTTACCTCTAGCTCGCCAGGCTTGTGCTTTTTGTCTTTTTTTTGAAATAGCTTCCCAATTTGGATACCGCTTCTACTGTTGTTTTTTTTTTTTAAATCGTCTCTTCCTACTTCTGACATGCTCCGATATTCTGCAGCCAAACACGCTGGCCTTTCTGAAGCAGTGGGAGCAAGAGGACCTTCTGCCACGTCTGACAAACAGAATGCAGTTGCATTTTCTCTGGCGCCCTTAAAATGCCCTTAAACAATCTCCAGGTCATCCAGAAGCATTTCACACTAAGTCCAATAAAGTGCTGCACAGCAACTAAAGGGAAGTAAATATAAAATGACTGCTGATATTTGCAGACAAAAAAACCGGCCGGCACGGCAAACAGCAAGGCAACTAGGGCAACCATAGAGAGCAGTCTGGTTTGCATGGCAACCTCACTTCACACATTGTTCTTCAACACAGGAAAAGGCAAGGTCATGCATCGAGGAACAAAGAGCGCAGGGCAAGCCTGCAGAGCCAGGACTGTACCCTGGAAAAGCCATAACCCGGAGAAGAATTTTATTTTAAGGTCACACTAGGTAAACAGCCCTACGCAAACTCGGTTTAAGGTAGCAGGAAAACAACGGGTAGGTGCAAGGAAGGACTTTAATTCTGTATGTTGCCCACTGGTGAGATCAATGCCAGAGCATCACCTCCCAGCTTCGCTTCCTATTTTAAAGGGATGCTGAAAAATTGTGAAGAAGAAAGAAAACAACCACACAAATTCAAATTATGACCCCACCTACACAGAGGGAGGGTTCTCTGCAGGCTAGGTGGCACTACATGTTCTTGTAGTTTGCAAAACAGAACCACAGAAATTCCCTCATTACTACGGACATCACCAGGTGAAATATAATGGTCCATTATGCACAGGTCAGAGCAAACCCTCCCCTCTAGTATTAAATCAAAATCACCTCTTCTGCTAGGGATGGTGGGAGTCATAGCTCTGGACCAGGTGTTTTTGTGGAATCCACTTTTAGCCTGAGCTACTAAAGCAGTAAAAGAGCAGCTGCGCATCTCCAAAGGAAGGGCCCTCACTGCCCGCACGCCTTCCTTACCTCCTGGAACTCATTCAGGAAGGAGTGCTCGTACTCCCCCCTGCACCTTTGCTCCATCCTCTCCTCTATCATCCTGTGCAAGATGGTCGTGACAGCATCGGCGCTCACTCTCTCCAGCAAATTCAGCCGGCGGCTACAGACACAGACAGCGACCCGATTCAGAGCATATGGAAGCAAAGGTACAAGCAAATAAAGAAAAATCTAGCTACCTGAAGGCACCTTCCTCCCTGTAAGCTCCACAGATGCAGGCCTAGCTCTTAGTTTAAATGCTCTGATAGCCCGCACAGATGCACTACATATATAACACATGACACTACTGCTATCCCATTTTCCTTAGAAACATTATTTTCTAGCCATCAAAAGCTTTTTCATTTAGAAGAGTTCGCTTCCTTGTGGACAGAAGGCCTTAGAGCAAGAGGAAGATATTCTCATATCCACGGAGATGAACTTTCTGTCTAAAAACCTGCTCTAGTTCAACCACCACGTGGCAACCGGTTGCTGAAACCCTGTGTCAAGTTCTCTACCCGGCACCATGATACAGCCTGACCTCACACGTAACTCCTACTGTTTTCAGGTATCAAGCAAACCTGCTGGTGCTCCCCATCCAGACCATCTGCTTGTTCTGAGTGACAGCCACCACCCCGACACCTACGTACAGAATGTCATTGAGCTGCTGAAACTGCTCCATGGCTTTGGGGCACCAGCACTGCTCTCTCTTGGTGCTGCAGCCTGCGCACAGCGGGCTCTCTGCTCCACCCTCCTCCGTATCACTCTCCTGCTCGGTCTCACTCATGCTGCTCTCACACTCGTTCGATCCATCTTCTCCTTTCTTCCACTGCCGCATATATATCCTAAAAGTGCGGCTGTAGAACTGCTGGATCATTTCCTGGAAGGATTTGGTAGTGGAGAAGAAAAGGATAGCTTTGAACATGGTGTAGACCTTTTCTTGCAGCATCTGAGCACCTGTCCCCAGGAGCAAGCCAGCCTTGGTCCACCTCTCCAGAAGTTCCAGACTGTTAAGGTAGGGGTCCAGGCGGCACTTGAGAAGACAAAACGCGTCCAGAAGGAGCGAGGAGCACTGGGGCTCGTCAGCTGTGTTTTCATACTGGCCGATGCAGTTCCAGAACTCAGGAGCTATATTTGCCTGAAGGTCGGTCTGCAGCACCTCGATGAACCACTCCTCCACGATCGAGTGCAAGTCGTAACACCGCAGCACGTCCAGGGCCGCCCGCAGGTCGGCATCTTTCAGCGGCCCCACAGCATCGGACCTCGGTGCTGCCTGAAAAGCAGAGGGGATACCGACTTAAGCGCGCATAAAGACTTCTCTTGGAGGATCTGTGGCAGAACAGACCGCTCATCTCAAAGAGTGGGGACCAAACGCACACGGACTCTGCTGTCAGACAGCACCAGGCGGATGCCGTTCCTCCATGGACCCCTGCTGGGGTCTCAGCCCGCTGCCTGCAGCCAAGTGCCCACCTCCCAGGCCTGACACCCAACGCCCTCCATCGCCGTCCCTGTCGGCGGCTGCTGCAGGACACATGCGCTGGCCGGAGTGCCGCGACCCATCCTCGGGTCCCCGAAAAGCCGGGCTCTGGGGCAAAACCTCCCGTGGCCGACCTCAGCTCCCTCGGGGAGCAGAGCCGCAGCGCGGACGGGGGAAGCAGCACCTCTCTTTGGCATGGCCGCTTTCCTGGCCGGCGCGACGGGGGAAGCGGGGTTCGGCTGGGCCCCCGCGGCCTTTCCCCGACAGCCCCCCGAACAAATACAAGCCGCCGCACCGCCAGATCCCCCTTCCCCTCTTCCCAAGCCGGCAGCTCCCACCTGCCCGGCGGCAGCACCGAAAACCGGACCCAGGAGCGGAGGAGACCGGCTGGGGCCACCTCAGCCACCCCTGGGGGGCGGCGGAGCGGCAGACCGGCGGGGTCGGGGCCTGCCCTGGGCCCCACAGGGCCCGGAGACCCGCGGGCGGCGGCGTGAGGCGAGCGGGGAGCGCCGCGTC